CTATGGTCCAAACAATAATCTCCAAATGTACTCTAATTTCAGTTGAAATCCAAAGCATATTATAATTTAACATTCGCCCACCTTTTCTAGCTTCCTCTGACATTGACTCAAAGGGTTAATTTCTCTGATGATATCTCACTCTTACATTTTCATTAATTCTTAAGTCATTCCCACTGTCTATAAAGTCAAGTCTTATCTCCTCTTTTCTGCCTTAAGACCCTACTAAAAAGTCATCTTTTCTGGAAAAGATCTAGAACAGTGCCTCACACATAGTGGAGCCTAAATGCATATTAATTAAATGAATAAATGAACAAATTAGTGAATCAGACTTCTGAGCTGATATATTCCTCTTAGAAGTTTGTGTATACCTCTAGTTTAGCATTTATCAAATATTACCATAGTGGAATATGTACATGTATATAAACAAAGAAATAGACAACTTATATGATTTGTATACAAATAGACAAACTATAATTATATGATTCCTTGAAAACACTGACCTGGACTTACTCACTTTTACTTTCTAGAACCTAGCAAATTCTGTAATTCAAAGAAAGTGTCTTACCTAGTACAAACTTCTTGAATAAATGCATCTACTGCTGAATTCAAGTTTATACTACTGGTTATTCCATTTTAATTAATGAATTATTTAGGGTATATTATAAGATATTGCAAAAGGCTTATTTTTCTGCTCATTGTGGTAAGAACGCATATGTTCTAAAACTTTTGAAATATCCCTAAAAATACTTTTTTTTTGTAATTAAAGTAATTTTTTTTTCAGAGATGAAGAATTTTGAGTGACCATTGGACTTAAGACTCATGTCAACCCTTTGTAACTCACAAGGGGTGATACAAATCATGACAACAAATGCCAAAGAGTTCATATTGCTGAGATTTATCTTATTGTTATTTTATAATTTTGAGCAGCATTCGGTATTAGTGATCTGTGGCAGAAATGATTTCTCTACAGAATATTATATTGATGGATAGGAGAACATATTGAAAATAACCTAAAAGTTTTCCAACCCTTGAAATTCAGTAGTGGTAACTGAACTCAAGAAAATGTTATTTGAGTTTGAAAATGTCTCAGTGAAGCCTCTCCCTGATGATTAATTCTTAGTCATCTCTCCCTTCTCTTACTTCACATGACACTTATTGTGTCTTTGTCGCTTGATCTAGACTACTCTACATTGTTTTTTATCTTTTTGTTGGAAACATCAAGGTTAGGAATCATGTCTTATGGCTCTGTCACTCGTATCTGGGGCACCTAAGTGTGCGTGCGTGTGTGTGTGTGTATGCATACTATGGGCTGTTTAGCTGTTTTACCTTTTGGAAATAACTTTATCAAAATACTTTATTGAGTAATCAGCTACTTAACTAACAGGAGATATTTCCTAATGTTTTAGGAGTCAAGGATTTAGACATGTAAGGTAGATCTGTATAGAATAAGAAAGCTTTTTATTCAGTGCTAAGATAATGTGTTGTCTTTACCATGACCTGTAATAGCATATTATGGATAAATAGTATTTTTATGTGATGACTATGTGTTTTTAAATTATGTGTTAATAAACACACAAAAAACTAGTATTTTTATGTGTGTATTAAAACACCATAACATTTTAAACATTGCAGAGAAAACATGATGGGTTTTCACTTAACTAAATTTAAAGAATATGAGTCCTATTTGAAATTTCTTTGTGTAGGCAACCTACCACTGGTCGGAAACGTCAGTTAAATCCCTTAAGTCATACATCCTTCTGCTAACATCCACATTTTAAAAATTATTACATGCAACTGAAAGCTTTAGACATTTAAGCATGAATGTCTAAAGCATGCTAAAATACACACATCCTGGGGAAAATCAAGAATTACATTGTTTACTGACATTAGAACCCCAAACACCATGAATTTGTCAGATTAATATGTTCCTGGCATAACCGAGGCCAGGTATTATTGAGAAGCCTTAAGTGCCTAGGGTTCTCTTGATTGTAAAGGACTGTGGTCTGGTTCAGTGGACAAACCCTGGCTATGGACTCCACTCCTGGCTTTTATAATACTTAGCTCTGTGTCATTAGAACAATCAATTAACCTCACTGAGCCTTGGTTTCCAGATCTGTAAAATGAAGGAACAGAGTACTTTGAATTTTAAGGTCTCTTTTAGTACTAAAAATTTGGTTATAAACTAGTAATTGTCTTCCTAATTATCTGAGGAATATAGAGCTGTCCAAACAATTCTTATAGGCTCAATGAAATTATATTAATAGGGCAATGTTAATACTAATATTATTAATCTGCAGCAAGATTTATATTTACACATGTTTGAAACCACATGAAGGATACAAATATTCTTACCAAAAGTTGTGAATTCCAAAGACCTCTGTTTTGCCACATGCACACCAGAACAACTGGTATAGGCAATAAGTACAAAATTAATTTTACTATAGTTTCCCAATCAGACATTGTCTGTTCCCTAATTGCTGATAGTTCAATCCTCAAATCCCAGTAATTATTCTTTTTCATATATACTGTTCTTGGCTACAGCCAGGTACTCCATTTATGAGAACAGACTTCATTTCAGTCTGACTAGGGTTATTTCAGTCACCCACTGTCTGCCTTGGCAAAATTTTCTTTAGCTTGATTAAATACTTGTTGCCAACTTCCCAAGTGAGAACACTTATGGAACAATGTGCTCTTTTGCAGACATTAACCCTATTTAACCCTGATTGCACAATAAGGAATTTATTATTTAATTACTCTAAGGCCAGGAGGTAAAATCTGAAGGCACTTTTGTGCCCACGGATGTTTAGTTTATATACGCTGTGGCTTAGGTTAGAAAATCAAGGCACAGTGTTGACCAATCAGTGAAACTGAACTCTTAATAATTAGAAAACCCTATATTAAATGGTATTCACTAGAATTTACCTCAGGACAAACACAGGTGGATTGGAGTAAAGAAGGCCACAACTTGGCAAAAATTATGTCCCTACAGGCATCAAAATTCAAGATACAGGGAGACAAAACTATTACCAAATGGATTTATAGTGGCAACATATTTGTCTTACCAGAATAGGATATTTGTTAAAAAAATAATAAAAATAAAATAAAAATAAAACAAACAAAAAAGAAAAGTATTATATGTCTGGACAATAATGGACAGACTCTGGGGCTTAGTAGTAGAAACTGTCTTTCTAAAACAAAGATCACATGGAACAGTGAGTTTTGAATTTTAGAGTGCATCATAATTACCTGAGGAGCATGTTAAAATGCTGATCCAAACATCAGATAATTCTGATGCACACACATGGTCACATTCTTAAGAATTGTGACTATAATGAATGAAAATGGCCATCTAAAGATCACATATAAAGTTTAGGCATGGGAAATACAGACTGGTAAACTCAAATCTTCCAAACTCCTTATCCACTTTATAATTATTTAAGCCATTAGATAATAGTTCTGTGTGTGTGTGTTTATTGTCTGTGGTTCTCTACAAGATTTTAATTTCCTTAAAGGTAAGGACTATGCTTTTTGTTTATCACTGTAAACCCAGCATCTATTATAAATACTCAGTATCTAAACTAATGGATGAATGAACGAATGAATTTACTTCTTATCTCTAATTGCCAAAAACTGGAAAAAATTTGGCTCAAGCTATCCCATTTTCCTACTTATAGATTTGACATTAAATAGTTATAAACTTGGGAGTGGGAGGAAAATTTCCAGTGTTTTCTGAGAAGAGAGGAAGAATTCATTTCTTTCTTCTACCTCATACTGTCCCTCTTCCTCATACCAATGCAATGGATTATCTCTTCTTAAAGTAATTTTGCTTTCATTTCCTGTGGATTAAAGAGGGGCTAAGAAAATTTTCAGAGACTGCTCTGTCAATTTTGATATGTTGGTGTGCATATTTTATGCAAGTATGCATTCATATACTCATTATTATTATTATTATTATTTTGAGACAGAGTCTTGCTCTGTCACTCAGACTCAGATGCAGTGGCACAATCTCAGCTCACTGCAACCTCTGCCCCCAGGGTTCAAGCGATTCTTCTGCCTCAGCCTCTGGAACTACTGGCATACACCACCATTCCAAGATATTTTTTGTATTTTTAGTAGAGACGAAGTTTCACCATATTGGCCAGCCTGGTCTCGAACTTCTGATCTCATGATTTGCCTCCCAAAGTGTTGGTATTATAGGCGTTAGCCACTGCACTCGGCCCCCTATACTCATTTATATGCTTGTATCTGAATATTCATAAGCACATTCAGATTAATATACTGGAACATGATACATGTATTGGTCCATTCAATTTTTCTGTAAATTTTTTTTTTTTTTCTGTGAGATGGAGTCTTGCTCTATCACTCAGGCTGGAGTGCAGTGGCACAATCTTGGCTCACTGCAATCACTGTCTTCTGGGTTCAAGAGATTCTCCTGCCTCAGCCTCCTGAGTAGCTGGGATTACAGGCCACCATGCCCAGCTAATATTTGTATTTTTAGTTTCACCATGTTGGTCAGGCCAGTCTCGAACTCCTGACCTTGTGATCTGCCCGCCTCAGCCTCCCAAAGTGCTGGGATTACAGGAGTGAGCCACCACACCCAGCCAATTTTTCTGTAAATCTTTTGATCACTTTTATAATATGATTGAATTATTATGTATTATATAAGCCCATTTATGGATTTGGTTGGTGTGCTCATGGTGCTATTAATTGCCATGGTCAGAAAGCCATATTTATTCAGAATTTAAAAGGGCCTTGTCAATTTCTCTTCTTTGATACTGCTAGAAAAATATATGAAACATTTTGGTTTTTTTATTTGGAGATAGGGTCTCCCCTAGTCGCCCAGGCTGGAGTGCAGTGGCATGATCTCAGCTCACTGCAACCTCTCATTTACTTATTTTAAAAATTCCAAATGTTCCAGTGATGAACTAAATAATCTTGAGCATAAAGAATAGCTACAATGTTTCCATAATAAAACTTGTGAATAAGAATAAATGGAGGGGGCGGGGCCGGGCATGGTAACGGCTGGAAAGCACAGGAGGCTGGACCGGAGGGAGGCGGAGGAACCGGTGTCCGCCGCCGCCGCCGCTGCTCCAGCCTATTCCTTGTGGCCACTGTGGGTCCTGCCTCAGCCATGATGATCCACGGCTTCCAGAGTAGCCACCGGGATTTCTGCTTCGGGCCCTGGAAGCTGACGGCGTCCAAGACCCACATCATGAAGTCGGCGGATGTGGAGAAATTAGCCGATGAATTACATATGCCATCTCTCCCTGAAATGATGTTTGGAGACAACGTTTTAAGAATCCAGCATGGCTCTGGCTTTGGAATTGAGTTCAATGCTACAGATGCATTAAGATGTGTAAACAACTACCAGGGAATGCTTAAAGTAGCCTGTGCTGAAGAGTGGCAAGAAAGCAGGACGGAGGGTGAACACTCCAAAGAGGTTATTAAACCATACGATTGGACCTATACAACAGATTATAAGGGAACCTTACTTGGAGAATCTCTTAAGTTAAAGGTTGTACCTACAACAGATCATATAGATACAGAAAAATTGAAAGCAAGAGAACAGATTAAGTTTTTTGAAGAAGTTCTCCTTTTTGAGGATGAACTTCATGATCATGGAGTTTCAAGCCTGAGTGTGAAGATTAGAGTAATGCCTTCTAGCTTTTTCCTGCTATTGAGGTTTTTCTTGAGAATTGATGGAGTACTTATTAGAATGAATGACACGAGACTTTACCATGAGGCTGACAAGACCTACATGTTACGAGAATATACATCACGAGAAAGCAAAATTTCTAATTTGATGCATGTTTCACCTTCCCTCTTCACGGAACCTAATGAAATATCCCAGTATTTACCAATAAAGGAAGCAGTTTGTGAGAAGCTAATATTTCCAGAAAGAATTGATTCTAACCCAGCAGACTCAAAAGAAAGTACACAATTGGAATAGATAATATGCTCACTGTAGAATCTGACTGGACACCTTGACTATTTCTGGTAAAAGATGGGCAGAACGAGTATGCCTCTGAAAATTTTATTGGTTTATTCTTGTGGAGAATACCGAGAAAATGTGTATTTGCCCATTGCTAAATATGAAATATGCCATTTTATATTTATTTGTCCCAAGTGTCTTTTTGTAAGAGGAGAATAAACAAGGAGTTACTGATCAAAAAAAAAAAAAAAAAAAAAAAAGAATAAATGGACAAAATACCCTTTTTTGTGATTAAATCTTCATGTAATTCTTTAAGTGCAGATGAAACAAGCACCATAGTAGGTCTATTTTCTAAATGGGAGAAAGGAAAGGGGTATTCATTTTCTACTCTATGCCTCTAATAGACATGTACATTGGTTTAAGTGCTTATGTTTCAACTTCTAAAATGAATTTTTACAAATAGAATGAAAGTTATCTATCTATTTGTCTATCACACATCCTATTACAATGAATTCCCATAAAGCAGAAAATTATTTTTGCTGCAAAGAGGTGGGTCAACTTAAATATTACCTAACCTAAGTGGTTAATTGGCTGGGATTAGGAATCTTTTTGATTTTGTAAAACGTTTCAGTGTAATGGTATTTTTAAACTTTATTTCCTTCAAACATATGCATATGATAGAGAAATTGCATTTAAAATTCATTATAAATATAATAAAATGAGTAGGAGTAAGGATTTGGAAGGACATATAACTGGATATTCGCATTTAAACTATTGTGGAACTTCTCGAATACCGTAAGGTTTTTGATTACCCTGAAAAAAACAGTGGTACCTTGTCCCTAGAAATCCATAAAAAGGGAACAGACATCTAACTCCATATAGTGTATAGATATTTTTTAGGTTCTAATATGACAGACTATTCAATCGCTTATAGTCTATCTCAGAAAAAAACATTTTTCTTATGCAAAATGTAAACAAAATATAAATGCTTAGATGTGCAAACCTAACTCAGCATTGTTCAAAAGACACTTGAAGTACCTGCAGATAAATATAAAAACTTGACAGGAAATAAAATAAAATTCTTAGAATGCTAAACATATTATTTTACAATAATAGTAGATAATACTTACATGTCGCTTACTATGTGCCAGACACTGTTACATGTTCTTTGTCATCATACGTGATTCCTTATATGACTTATCTAAGGTGCCTTAGTCCTCATATCAGTGAGGCACATACTATGATCATCACCATCTTAAATATTAGAAATCTTGAGTGTATGAGAGCCCTTGGATAAGAGACAAACTTCTTACCCTTCTTATCAGTATTGACCTTAGTTGTGAGTGTGCTAGCAGTATTTCCTTTTGTTACCTCTATAGTCTCTGTGTTCTAAGCTCAAAGACCACTTTTTAATTTTTAGGGGTTGTTAGCATTTTTTTAAACTTCACAATTAAGATCACTTCTAATTACTGTTAATTATTTAATTATTTTCTTTCTTTCTGAGAAAGTACTGGAACAGATTAACCTCCCTGCAGGAATCAATTAAGAAATAATTAATGAAACTTTCAAAAGCTTTAAATTCCAATGAAAACTTGAAGCACTGAGAATATCTGCCTCAACATTTTATAGGGTGTATGCCAGCAATCAGTGGGAAGCACGAGGATATTCTGTTCCTTGTAAGTGTAAAGTATGATAAAACATTAATCTTAAATCTCTTACGTAGTAACAAAACAAGACCTACACTAAAATATTTGGCAGTTTGTGGCACAGCTGCAATCTCAAGTAGCCTTCTCTTTAAATTATCACAAAAGGGTAATTAAACTGTTGCAAATTCTTTCCTATGGAATTATCCCTGGGCCAAAAGTGTGAAGCAAATAATTTTCTTCTTGAGATAATGTTACTAAGGAGGAGGTCTCAGTTTTCTCGAGAACTGTAATTTTTCTAAGGGTTCTTTCAGTTTACTTTGAAAAGACTGACATTAATAAAGTCATTTCATGCCAAACTTAAGTTAAAGTAGGAAGATGAAAACTTGAATATGAAATATATTGACAATATTTTCCAGAAATATCCCACTGGATGTGGTGGCTCATGCCTGTAATCCCAACACTTTGGGAGGCTGACATAGGCAGATTGCTTGAGTTTGAGACCATGAGTTTGAGGCCAGCCTAAGCAACATGGTGAAACCCCATCTCTACAAAAAATACAAAAATTAGCTGGGCATGTTGGCATGTGCCTGTAGTCCCAGCGACCTGGGAGCCTGAGGTGGTAGATCACTTGAGTCCTGGGAAATTGAGGCTGCAGTGAGCTGTGATTATGCCATAGCACTCTATCTTGGTCAACAGAGAAAGACCCTGTCTGAAAAAAAAAAACGTCCCTGACTTTGCTTGTAACTATACCTCATTTCATCTGAATTGGGAAGATTACATTCATTAAGGGTAAAAATGTTATTAGAATTCATATTCATGAGGCCAGGGGCAGTGGCTCATGCCTGTAATCCCAGCACTTTGGGAGGCCGAAGTGGGCGGATCACCTGAGGTCAGGAGTTGGAGACCAGCCTGGTCAACATGGTGAAACCTGTCTCTACTAAAAATACAACAAAATTATCTGGGTGGGAGGAGGGCGCCTATAATCCCAGCTACTTGGGAGGCTGAGGCAGGAGAATCGCTTGAACCTGGTAGGAGAGGTTACAGTGAGCTGAGAAGGTGCCACTGCACTCCAGCCGGGGCAACAAGAACAAAACTCCATCTCAAAAAAAAAAAAAAAAAAAAAAAAAAAAAAGAATCTAATCTCATGAAAGGTAAAAATGTTATTAGAATGCAAAGCGTATATGGTTAGTAAAAATCTGTAATTGGTACAAAGATAGAAGAGAGGAAATGCAGGGGCAGGAATAGGAAATTACTTAGTTTTCTCTTCGTTTAATTAATACTATTGGGTAAAAAAATGCAGAACTGATCCCTGAACTTTAACAGGATTTTTTCATTCTTCAAACCCTTATCTAAACTCAACATATATTGAAAAACTAATGTCCCCCTTATTCCAGGGAATATTTTGAGGATTTCTAATTTAGCTTTGATGTCTTTATTTCTGCATGAAAAGAAAACCCTGGCATTCAACCGTTAGAACCATTTAGAGCAAAACTGAATGGCCGTTTTATACTTTTCCTTTTCTAATCTATTTCATTCAATCTCCTGCATTTCAGATGAGGTCTCTCAAGCATTTATAAACTTTCAGTTCATTTTTTTCCATACCCAACAGATTCCTGGCTTATGAAATCATAAATATTTTCTGGCACCCAATTTTGATGACCTGCTTTTCATACTCTGTGTTCTACTGCCTTCTTAAAACCACAGTTCTGGTACATATTTTTCTGCATGCAAATTGATGCAATGTGTACTGCAACAATTGGCTTCCTTCTATAAAATTTTGGAAAGCTCTTTCAACTTTATTGGTAGATTTGTGTTGTATAGAGTCCTCTGGGGAACCAGGCACAAGGACAGATGGCTCCCTCTTATTCAGGATATAGTGTGGTCCAGAAAAAGATTCATCTGGTCTTTGAATTTGGAAAGACTCTCTGTTGCCCAAAAGTGGGTAACTAGTACAAATGTATGCCAAAGACTATATTTCTTGGCAGATGTAGAAAATTGTAATTGATTGCATTTCAGTTCCCTGTGTTTTGTGCCACAATCACTTAGTAAAATGAAAACCAGGGGAAAGAATCAACCAAAATACTTTAGCAATAATGACTTTTTGGGGAAAAAAGCAAAACAAACAAACAAACAAAAAATCCCACCTTTTTTTGACTGACAAAACACAACTTAGAAACTTAGACCCCTAGGGAGAAGTAGGCTGTTACACTGGTCTATGTGATTTCAAGTCAATTGGGCTCAAAACTTTTAAACTATTAGGCTGAAGACACTATTTTGACACCTTTTTAAATAGAATTTTAATATAATTAGAATTTTCTGGAGCCCTTTGAGTAATTTGCATTTTTCTCAGACTGCTTTTGTGATTTAATTTTGTTCTTGGTTATTTCCAGTTCTACTGTGACATAGCTAGGTATAGATTTATTTTTATTTGTTTTACTTGGGTAATCATCGGTCTTCTTAAATCTTTGATGTCTTTCATTAGCTCCAGAAAATTAATTATATTATTTCCAAATACTGTCTCTCTAACCCAATCTCTTTCTCTGTTTCTATGCAAGCCCAATTAGATATTTTGTTACTTTTCTCTGTATGTTACTTTTTTTTTTTTTTTTTGAGACAAGGTTGGCTGGGACTTGGTGGCTCATGCCTATAAACCCAGCACTCTCAGAGGCTGAGGTCGGGGGATCACTTGAGCTCAGGCATTCAAGACCAGCCTGGGAAACATAGCAAGACATTGTCTCCAGAAAAAAATTTAAAAATTAGCCGTGTCTGGTGGTATACACTCATAGTCCCAGCTATTCAGGAGGCTGGGGCAGGAAGATTACTTGAACTCAGGACATCAAGGCTGCAGTGGGCTATGATCACACCACTGCACTCCAGCGAGGGCTGAAGAGTGAGATACTGTCTCCAAATAAAATAAAATAAAATAAAATAAAATAAAATAAAATAAATATATATAGAGAGATGGGGTCTTGCTCTATCATCCAGGATGAAGCGCAGCAATGCAATCAAAGCTCACTATAACCTCGAACTCCTGGGCTGAAGGGATTCTCCCACTTCAGCCTCTCAAGTAGGTAGGAGTACAGGTATATACCACCACACCAGGCTAATATTTTATTTTTAAATTTTTTTTGCAGAGTCATGGTCTTGTTATGTTACCTGGGCTGGTCACAAAATCATAGCCTCAAGTGATCCTCCCACCACAGCCTTCCAAAGTACCGGGAATACAAGCATGAACCACTGAACCCAGCCTATCTTACATATTTCTTAACCTCTCTTATGTTTTCTACATCGCCCTGTCTTTTGCATTTTTGACATTTTCTTCTGATAACTTTCTGTTTACTAATTCTCTCTTCAGCCTTGTCTAAACTGCTCTTAATTTGCTCTTAGTTTTGTTGTTGTTGGTTTTGTTTTTGATTTTTAGAAGATCTGCTTTGTTTCTCAGATAAGCCAGGCCATTTTTATAGATATGGTGCCCTGTAGAAATTTTTCACCTTATAGTTTTTCTTTATCGATAGTAATAATACTTGCTGATATAATATCTGAAGTTTGTCAGGTATATTTATTATATTTGTTGTTTTTCTGCCTCTTG